GGGGTTTGTAAGTCCGTGGGTTATCTAAGCTTGTACTAGTAATTTGATGTGCAATGTTGTCAGTCGCTTTTTAAGGAATGCACTCATTAGGTAAGGTCTATTTCTGCCTCAAGTTTCAAATTTACATTAATTCATTCATTTGTTCATTCATAATCCATCTATCACCTTATATTGACCAATCAATGTGGTGAAAAACTTTTCAAAAAGACAAGAATCTGGACTTCCAGTAATCCTACATTACCATACTACATTGCTTATTTCAGCTTTATTCACATTATTTAAATCAAAAAAACAATTAACATTTATGTAGTAAATTCAAAATATGCTAACTTTATATATGCTGGTTTACCTTTCTGTGGGTTAACCACCAGTTATAAAGTCAAAACTCACAGCCAAAGTTCTTACTGGTTCAGAATTACAATGAAATAAAAAAGTGATTAACAGTGTGAACAACCATAGACCTTAAAAGTCTATGGAACAACATAAACGATAGTTTCTCATCTTTCAATTGATGGTTTATCTTGATTTAATACTATATAGTTTGTTCATTTTCCAGCTCGACCCACCAGATTCACAGTTGCTATACTTTAAGGGAGCTAGTGTTAGCTTTCTCTTTGATTCATTCTGGACATTATCATCAGGACAACAAGGAAGATACCAACGTATCCTTTTTTAAATGAAATCTCAAAAATTAATAACCAGTCAACGAATTTGAATAAAATGCAATAGAAATATACCACATTGCATGGAACAATTGCAAGATCTCATTGTTTTTCATGAAACCTTGTGCAAACTAATTAGCAACATTTGCTTAAAGCAGGCGAATCGTCACCTATGTTTGTGTCAGGTGGCCATAGCGTGTCATTGTTTACAAACAAGCGTCTACCCATGAGCCTTTGCGTTTTTCGCGTGTTTTGTTATCGTCGCTTGGGACTCGATTCCCGCGCGTGCGCAGGTGACCACCCTCTGGCTTTAACAAATAAGTGATTTGAAAATATATGCCACTTGTATGAGATGATTCAAAAAGATTTAATTTCAAAAGAGAAATTTAATAAAGTTATTTTACAAGATTTAAATTAAATGTGCATCAAACAAGATTATGTTACTTTTTAAATATCTAATGCATTAGTAATATTTTTATACTATGAGACAAATCCTTGCATATTTGCATGTTAGTAAAATTGGTATCGATTTTTAATAAATAATACACAATAAGGGAATTTATATTGAAGTTCAAACATTTAATGCAAAATACAGAATTCATTAACTCGTGTATCAGTTGATAAGAGCACTTGACAGTATATTGAAATATTAAATTGTCTTTTTATTGTTGATTGCCTTAATTGTTAACTTAGATATTTTGAAAGACATTATTAATAAAGTTGCAAATGGAACTCTAAGGTATTGCAATACATTATATTATAATAATTGTTATACCCTATCTAATGTTATCATATGACATAGTACAAGACCTTATATTATGTTGTTATGACATAATATATTACGTTTTAACATATTGCAATACCCTATATTACGTTATTGTGTGATGTATTGAATGATTACATATTACAGCTCTTCCAACATCAGCATCTGCATTGCAACTTGACTGAGATAAATTCTGGTAACAGTTGCTAGTAGAATACACAAAACATGTAAACACCAATGTAAACTTAAAAGTGACTTGGCTGAGAAGGGTTTACATACAAAATAAACAACCATCAAACATTTTAACACTCTTTTAAAGTTTTGAAATTAATGGATTGTACAAACATCCATTGTGTGTTTTAATCATAGGGTAATCAACAGTATGTTTACATAAGTTCAGTAACCTCAGACAAAACAAATCTCACTTGGTGCCACAGTGTTAACACCTCTATCGTTGTACAAACGATGTACATGTAGTTGTAGTCTACTTGTTTAGATCAAAGACTATAGAGAAGTCTTCTCAATAGTCTTTGATCAGATACAATGTATCAACATAAAAGTGTGAACTGTCATTGTTGATCTTGCTGTTGAAAGAGCTGTAAATTATCAGATGACATATTGCAATATTTTCTATTTTAATAATGTTGTTACTAGGCTACATTATAATATTTATATTATTATTAATATTTTGTTATGACACTAAAAATCGATACATGTTACTAATTACATTGCATCACATACATTTGCATGGCTCACTTTATGAGTTTATTCAACAAAAGTTATGGTCTAACTAAAACTAAGACAAATTCTTATCTCATTTATGTTTATTTGCAGACCAAATATATCTCAAAAGTTACCATTGGAAAAAGTACCAGATATGTACAGAAGATTGACATATAGAACGATAGGGAAGTTTGTGATGGAAAATTGAAAGCTAAATTATATGTAAATAGTAACTATATGCTGTGTTAATATTTCTCTACTGTGTACTTTGTGTCTTTGTTAGTAAATAAAGAATGGGAATAAATATTTGGGAGCCTACATTTTGAATTGATTTATTCTTCTCTATGTTTGAAAGATTTACCTTTGTGTGTCTGTACATAGCTGTGTCTCAGACTTGTCACCTTGTTACACATACATAAAATTGGGTCCATGATGCAATACATTTTCGCCAGTCAAGGTTCATTTATTCAGCCATAGGGGTGACAATGGATGGTCGGCTTCAACGAATCTGTGCAAATTGAATGATGCCTACAATACCAAAATGAATTCAAATTCGAGCATTTCTGTTTTTCCAAAACCAGTTGGTTGTACATGCATGGATTTTGATACATACATAGAACATTGTGGGCCATTTTTGCATGTAATATTCAGAGCAGCTGATTTTTGTTTTCAAAATTACCATTCCATAGTCTTGTACTATAAGTACAGGAAAATTACGAACATATATAATACTCGCATACAACATTCAGACTCCTGGACTTAAGCAGAACACTTTGATGCTGCAAGAATGCGGACACCTCAGTATGCCACAATCATCAACACCAAAAAAGTCTGCGGGGTTAATTAATGTGAGTACCCGGTACATATACTGGCAAATTTGCAACATATAAACAGGTATATTAGAGATTTGAACTCCTGACCAATGGCAAAACACCATATATCTTTATCTTTTCTGATTACTTTCGAATTGGTTTTACTATTTACTACTGCAAACTATATACTGGTTCATAAGCATATTGCATTTTTCTTCTCATACAGCTTTGGAAAATAAAATTCACATGTGGAGAAAAAACAATTGTGTGAATGTTGTTTTATTAAATGCAATACTCCATTCACATTATTGGTGTATTAGCATTTACATCTTGCATTTTAGCTTAATCAACTTGTCTCCCATTGATGAATAAAAGGTTTATTATGTGTCAAATAAATAGTATAGTATATTTTATTTTATTTTATTTGACACAAAAAAATGCATGGAAAATACAT